GAATACAGAAACCGTGGATATGAAATGGTAATTAGCATGGAATCATAGGTGATACGTTTTAAGGTTCCAAAATCAAACCAATATGTATCAAAAGAAAAACAATTTATTGAGAAATTTGCAATTAAAATTAATAGTTATAATCAGCTTTAGGAAAGGGTTTAAAAAAATTAGTGATTTTTTCTTGTTTATAATTTTGAATTAGTCCACTCGGCTACATCTTTTATAAAAACTGCCTCGGCACGTACAAACAGTACATACTCAAAAGATGTCGATACATTGAGGAGATTCAGTAGTAGACGCGCGCCGTAGAGTAAAAACATGCTTATCGGTTCTAGATATCATGAGTTTAATGTTTGGAACAGAGGTTTGAAATTTTGTAGGACGATAGATAAAGCTTTCTTCTAAAGCTTGTCGAATGCCATTTTTTAATTTTTTATTTTCTATTGAAAATGCGTGTCCTACAAGAAGCACCAACTTTAAGCACTTGTAAAAGCTTTTAATGACCATATTATTGAAAACCAAAAACGTACCGAGTTAGTGTGAACCTTTGTCTGTTACGACACAAAAAATTAGATATTTATCTCGCAGCGTTAAATCACAATGTTTAGAATAGAAACCCACGTTTTAGGAAAAATTCACGCTAGGCACAAGCGGTCTATTGCTGTCAATCCCCTTAGTAAATGACACCGAATCCTTTTCTGCTTGCCGATTGCATCCGCGAATAATGAAATTTTTAGCCGAGAATATAGGAACTGGGTTGCAATTTTTTCACCCGCTAATAGTTAAAACGCGAATAAGAAAACCGTGAATAAGGAACATTTACTGTAGGCAAAAAATGATAGAATTACAGGACTCATGATACTTATTAACATTAACCTATTTGCTACGAACAAATGTAATGGTAACTAGAGTGAGTCACCTTTTAGTTTATTTATTACTTTACAACATTCTCAATTTTCTGCCTTAAAAACTTAAATGGAATGCTTAATTAATTACAGCACAACATTTCAACTTTAATTGGCTTCAACATTAATGATGACATTAACTAATAAATAAATCTTAACTAATTAACAGTTTTTCTATGCAAACTAATAAAAAAATTTAATCAAAACACTTAAAATTCTACACATTGTCGAGTTATAAATATTAGAAAGGTAAATTAATTGTATTAGTCGTTAACTTAGTTAATAAAAAAAAAAATTTAATATGTATTTTTTTTGTAACAATTACACTTTACGAACCATTTCTAAACAATCGTTATTATACAATGCAGCATTAATTGTTAAGGTAAAGCATTTTAAGCATGGCTCTGGGTTGCTTTATTTACTAGCTAAATTAGCACAATTACAATATTAGGTATGAGAAAATAAAACATTCGTCGTGACATTGCTTTTCAAATAAATAAAATATTATTTCATTATAACTACACCTTGTGATCATTTCACTCTAGAAAGTTCTATCGAATAGAATTATACTTGAAGTGTAATCGTTGATTTTAGCCGTCGCAACGATTGACGTGTGCGCTGGTGCGTTATCGTNACAGTCAAATTTAATATGCAAAATGAAAGTTGTTCGGATGTGGCTACATTATTAGACGAACAACATCATTTAGCAAAAAAATCCACTCCGAAGAAAAATATGTTTTTAAAAGAAAATCAAGCTTTTATCGTTTTTTCTTCTTTTTTTTTTCACCTATGAAATACTTTCAAAGTGTACTCTTTTTGAACAAAAAATAGTTGGTCACGTTATTAATGTCTCTGCACGCAGGAGGACTCAACCTTCTTTCGTAAGACGTAATCTAGATTTGAATTCAAAGGCTTTAGGAAAAATATTTTATTATTGTCATGATAATTTATTGAGTGATCCATCTATATTCTATAAAAATTATAAAATGTAGCGTAATCAATCTTACTCTGAAAGTACCTACCCAGTTGATTATTCATGACGTGCAAAAAGTGTGCTAAGGTTGCACGTTAAAGAAACGTAAAGCAGTTGAAAATTCAGTAAATTTCGAGGTCGCACAATAATCATGCTACCGTTATAATTTATGAATAGTGCATAGGTTGATATTTAATAACGAACAAAAAAAGAAATTAATAAAATACTAGCTTACCATTGCCGACATAATGCAATTTCTTCGATTTGGTATTTCACAATTCTCAGAAAAATAGGTTCATTATTAACTGCACTTTAATATTTCAACAATTAATAATATGGATGACCTTATTTTGATTAATTTTTAAAAACTAAAAATGGCACCTTATGATTAACTGAGTTAATGAGACGAGTCGCTGATTTTCAGTATCTAGGAAGTCAGATAATTCAGGATGGAAAAATGCAGTTTAGATATAAAACTATGTTCGCGAACGGTCAATTTAGAAATTCTAAAAGTTTTGATAAAGATGCCTAGACCACGGCTTTGTACGGGTATAAAAGGTGGATAACGGCTCAGCGAAAAAGAAAAGGTTAGAAGCGTTCGAAATGTGGTGTTACAGGCGAATGATAAAGATATCGTTGATGGAGAAGATTAGAAGTGTAGAGACATTAGAAATAATAAGAGATTTAGAAGGCGCTATGGAAGTCAATAAGAAAACGCGAGATAGGTTGTTAGGACACCTTTTCAGGCATGAAGGGTTAAAGTTAAAGACATATCAAAAGCAAAAACATGAGTTAAGAGAAGTAGAAATAGACCTAGTTTAGATTACTGTTCACAAATAGTTAAGGGTTTTGGATGTTTTAGTTTTAGGGAAATGCGAAGATTAGATCAGGATAGGAAAGAATGGATGTACGTGTCGAAGCAGTTTTAGGATTGACGAGCCTATACTGATAACGGTCATTGATGATTCGCTTTGCTATTAATCTTTACGATTTCGGTAATGTGCTCATGGTAGTCATGGAAGGGCTCCATATGACTCATTTATGGGTTCAGTAAGACTCTGATACATCAGAAATCATAATTAGTTTATCGATAGAGAAGCAAGGATGTGAGTTGTTCTAGTTTTAGGGAAATGCGAAGATTAATTCAGGATAGGAAAGTGGAGGTGCGTGTACAACCAGTCCTAGGACTGACGACATTATGATAATGATGATGATGAAACAGACGATAGGCGTTATTTTGTATGAATATTATGTGAGCTTTGTTAGTTCAAGTCTGTCCTGAAGAAGTGAACTTCAATAATTCACGAAACGTTAGCACAAAAAGAGTCAGCCCTATACAAATCGAATACATCAGCAATGTAGGTAATACAATGATAGAAAATTGTTTTCTCTTTTGTAATTTCTTTAAACAAGATGCGAATGTTAAGTAGCACTTGCAACCTTTTGCATTTTGTTCACAAAAACTTGACAATGTATCGAGATAGTGGTGCCTTTCAACCTGTTATTCAAAATGTCAATTAGTTGTCAAGTTTGTCACAAGTCCGACGGTTACATGTGTCCATTAGAAAAAATCATGCATCAAAATTTTCCCGTTTCTCTTTTCAATTGGTTTGGGGCAGTATGCACTCTGAAGAAAGTGATAGCAGTTTGCCCTTTTTCCCTGATTTCGACACCGAATATCATAAACATATTCTCAGGGTTACCTGGTTTGAAACCGATTTTTCCCAGTCCCGATATAGTTTCAAAAGTCAACCTGGTGGAAGTAACGCATGCACAATTATAGCCATACTAATGGCTTGGAAGTGCCATTTTAAGGATATAAATGTATGATATAACGTCATTATTCATTATTGTGTAATTCTACTCCCTTTCATAGTATTTTTCTCTCAGAGTAATAACAAAAATCGTTTGCGTACATTGCACTAGCTTAGATATGTTTTAAATAAGTTTTACAACTTACATGGGTACACTAAAATTGTCTTCGAGTTGATAATCCTTTAAATAACCATAACTGTATACAGTTATGACAAAATGTTTAACGAACTTAAAAATTACGCACTTCTTTATCGAGAGTTTTCCTTCTATATTACAATATTATTGCAATTTCTAATTTCACTTACTAAATTTAAATCTGTAACCAATAAGGGTTGCAGTTAGCAATACAGTAGAATCCGCTGATAGTGATATCGAGGGGAAATGACAAACACGTCATACAAAGCATAGTCTTCAAAAATAAACAACTTTCTATTTTGGTTAGTTATTTAGTTTAATAGAGAGAAAAACTACAAATTGTATATATTTATTAATNATCTTATCTGGTTCACTAGGGTCCTTGTATCTACTGTATAATGCTTCTAATTTTTTTTTGTCAACGTTCCTTTGTTCTTTATAATAAGCCTCAGGATTCTGAAAATAATTATCACTGGCAAGATCCAATTTCCAGTCGTTTTGAGCCAAACAATAAATAGCAGTATTTTCTCCCGTTTGTGTAAACGAGATAAATTTTTTCACCTTCTCTCTTTGTGAAGACTTAAGTTTGTGCTGTAAATATGGAAACATTGCCTGTTACTAAACTTAAAAAACAATTCTATAAACAAAACATGTATGCAGAATTTCTTTGTAAGCTTAAATAATTAAAAAAGACATTTTTTTATTTTAACTAGGTTATGTAGATTAGGATAATCAGTCAAGATGACAGATCCTTTCACCTACAATATCAAATACTTTTGTGACAATTTATTAATAAAACGTACCATTGCGAGAAGAATGTATACATAATACATCAGACATCAGACACTATTCTGCAGGATATGGTATAAGATTTGCAATAAGTTTAAAGTTTGAAATTATTCTTAAAACTACAATTATTTTTATGTTATTCATGACATTACTAGAAGTTGTATTTGTCATTATTTGTTGTGTTATTATCATATTTCTGTGAAAAACAAAGCCATATAACATCAATTAACAACTACAAATCTTAATATTCCATTTAAATGAGGCAACAGTTTTTGAGAATCAGTTTTATCAATAAAATCCCCTGAATTTTGTAAAACAAACATCAAAACATTAATCATTTATTTCCTTCTTTTATATACTACACATTAATACTTGTATAAGTTTATTATCAGCTTATTTTGAATAATTTAACTTAGTAAATAAATGAAGTGGGAAGTATGCATTAGTTGAATATTTTTTAAAATTTAATAAACAGTTAAACAAAATTAAAGCTATAAAAAAAGAAAAAAAAACAACTTTCACTATTTAAAACTAATTTTTCCTTGGTTTCCTGTTATAATCTTTTATTTGTTACTGTATATTACAAAAAGTATTTAGGTTACCGGAACAATTTTTATTATCAACAAATACAATTGTAGGTAAAAGGACCGGATAAAGAGTTAAATATTCGGCTTATCTATGCCCTTGCTCATTCTATGTTGGAGGGAAATGATATTCATAACGAATTGAAAAAACGAGGATCTCTTTATGATATTAACCTCACAGTACCAGAGGCTATCAAGTTCAGCGGATTAGCAAAATATGGATTAACCGAATGGGTAAACTAGGTTAAACAGAAAATAATCATATCAACACAACTGACTCTTTTTCTTGTGTTATCGCAATAGTTACAATAGTATTGAAAACAATAGAATTTTACATACAAAATTTTTAGTGCCTAAAATACAATTACGATTTTCTCTAGCAACACTTGCTAATATTATAAGTATATTTTTTACATGTCTACCCATTTTCCATTTCCAAACAACACTATAACAGATACCCGATTAGAATACTGTACCCGGCGCATCCACCATTTTTTAAGATCTTACAGAAATAAGATACTGATGCTAAATACGCAGAAAATTCAACCAAAAAAGAAAAAAGGAAAACAAAAACAATAATAACAACTTCAACAAAACCATACTGAATAAATTATATTCGGAGTACAAAAATGCTTTGGGAGTAATTTCACTAAACTCATTTAAAATTCCTGACTGTATTGTTCCACCTACCATGTCAATGACAAAAGAGTTCTACTAAATCATATAGTATTGATTAATACCTACTTTACGTACTTTTCTACATAATTACCATACTTCTAAGCATAGTTAACACCTTTTATCACCATGTTTTTTCACGAACGCTTTCCATCTTAAAATTATTTTATAGATTTTAAGGAAAATAATGCCGAAAGGTACTTATTTGACACCACACTCAAAAACTATTAGCACCATTAGATTCTACGTACTTTTTTTACATATTTCCTATTACTCTAAGTGTTGTTAACACCTTTCATCTTCAAGTAATTTCACGAGCGCTTTTTATCTTTAAATTGTTTTATACATTTTAGGGAAAATGATAGTGAAGGGAACGTATTTGACACCGCACTCAAAAACCATTAGCACCATTAGATTCTACGTACTTTTTTACACAATTATCATAACTCTAAGTACTGTTAACACATTTCATCTCCGAGTAATTTCACGAGCGCTTTTCATCTTTAAATTCTTTTATACATTTTAGGGAAAATAATGCCAAAAAGTACTTATTTGACACCGCACAAAAAAAAACATTAGCACCATCAGATTCTACGTACTTTTTTTACACAATTATGATAACTCTAAGTACTGTTAACACATTGCATCTCCGAGTAATTTCACGAGCGCTTTTTATCTTTAAGTTGTTTTATACATTTTAGCGAAAGTAATGCCGAGAACTACTGCAGGGCTTTATGTTGTTTATTTCTATTTGTAATGGGACTTGTTGACTAACATGTGTACCATGCATCACGGGTCTTTCATGCGATTTTATAAACCTTATTTAATTCGAATACAATTTGTTTGAAGAAATGCTTCACAGTAAATTCACCACAAATAGCATCACTTACAAACGCTGTTGATTCAACGGTTTTGATTCCAAAAAAACCATACACTTAATTTTTGAGGCTTGGGAAAATATATTATATAAGTTATATTGAATTTAAAGTTTAAATTCGAATTAACATGTAATTTGCGGTTTATCCGGCGAATCGTTATTATTCGTTCACCTATAGTAATAAACTATATTTTTTTATCTGTTATTACATGGCACAGTATAAATTCATCTGTAATTAACTTAAATTATGTGTAACATTCCCTCCATATTTATTTTTAGAAGAGTTTACTTTTTATGGAGCCCCTCTGCGACACGCTGCACCATAACATAAAGAACACTTGGTCTCAATGGGTCAACAATCCTTTGAGCAAATCTCATCCAGATATGTACATTGTCCTGATTTCCGATTCTCGCAGTGTCCTTTTTATTATCCAATATGCATTTAATACGGTATTTAAAAACCTTTTTTCTCAACAATTTTTCAAATATCACTCGTATATTAAAAGCAAACATCTCAGTTGGTAAATGGGAAATCAAAAAGTAAATAGCATCTTAATAAATGTTAGGTACGCATTTTTTTATGGATTTATTAGGATTTATTGATTCTCTGACCCGTTTAGATTGTTATGTTGTTCTCAAAGAGTTTCTAAAACTATTTAAAAAAAAAAAGTAACATCAGTTTCTATGTTGTATGTTTATTATGAAATTCTGTTCAGTTATAAGCTCGTACTTAACCAGAACTAATTATAGGTTGCAGTAGTTGATTCCCATCAACACGCTTCTGCTGGTGCTTTAATAGCGATTACGTATCGTCAACGTCTTCAACTTCTTTGCCAATGGTTTTCCGAAATGAGCGAAAAACTTTACAACTCCCACCCTGAAGTGTATGAACTTTCTTTTTTGTATTTTAAAAATGGCACCGACAGTGACTTCAGTTTGAGTCACTCGATTTCAGAAAGTGTTAACAGTAATGTCACTCCCAGTTTTAACGAAAATCAAAGTTTTACTACGCAAAGTCGAAGTATTGATGAAAACTCGAGTTTCGAAGAGAGCGATGGGTCGAATATTGTAAGGAGCATAAAGAGTGAATAATTTACGGCTCAGTGGTGTCCCTATGTCTTTGTACGATTTAATACAATTATCTGCAACTGATACTTGTTTAATGGGAAAAATTAAATTTATTGTCAAAAGATTGCCTTATATATGTTTATGTGGGAATAAGTTCTCTTAGGAGCTTAGTTGCAAAAAATATTGCATTATTGGTTTATTCATTTATTGCTATCGTTTAATGAGTATGTGCTAGTGATTGTGGTACGTTTATTTTGTTAATATTTAATAATTAAAAAAAAAAAAAATATNTTAGACAATAAGACAGCATATTATTGTTTTTGTACTGACCGACGCTTAAATCTCTTACGAAAAGAAGCACTCAGACTATGTCAAATACCAAAATATGATAATAAATGTCGTAATTTATCATTTGAAGAGGTTGAGAAGAAATTACAGCGGGGTGAGCCTCATTGTATTAGATTTAAGGTTTAGTATAGCTTTATTACTTTATGAGCCTGAATTTATTATTACATTAAGTGTTTTGTAGTTAAAACATGGCAATGAAGTATTTGATGATTTAATTTATGGTAAAATAACTTATGATGTGGCATTAAATGAAGGGGACCCAGTTATAATGAAATCTGATGGATATCCCACATACCATTTTGCAAATGTTGTGGATGATCACCTTATGCAAATCTCTCATGTACTTAGGGGTGTTGAATGGCAAATTTATTATTTACAATGCACTCTTAACTGTTAAAACGACACGCGCAAAACAACTTTTATTATTCGCGATAAACAAACGTAATTGTATGTAAGCTAAATAATTCCATCCCTTGAAATCTTAAAACAAATTGAAAAAAAAAGGAAAGAAAGATCCAGCATCCCAGTTCATTTGTAGTGTACAAACAACAAAAAAATATATATTACATGATAATTATTAGGCAACGGAAAGACAAAAATAACCAACAACATATTCCACCTTTGTGTCTCTTTAGATCGTTACAATGATAACAGCAGCATATATAATACACAACGTTGTTATTTTGTTAGCAGGTGTTTTCGTGTTATTTTCATGTTAGAATTTTTAATTGCTATTCTAACTGGCTAGTGGTGCTATGTGGCTGTTGGTCTTTAGCTTTTAGCCTAGCCCATTCAACAAAATCGTCAATAAGCACAGGCCAGGCACCTTCCTCATCATAGTTGCTCATGTCATCTGAAATTTGGCCTGCAAAATCCAATAACAAGTTCCATGTATCTTTTGGAATTGACTTTTTATGATGTTCCTAACAAGAAACAATGATTTACTTAAAATATCTCTATAACATTATTTTAAAAAGTAGCTCTTACTTGCAGAAATTTACACCAGAGCTCCAGAAATTTGAATTTTCCTTTTAAAACAATATTCCAATAAGCAATTGCCATATCAAGATCCAAGCCCTTCTGTCCTGGGTTTTTTGCAAAATTAAAGGTAAAGTGGTAAAAATCTTTAAATTTGTAATTATCTTTCAGTTCATTTTCCAAACTAGGCAGGCGAGATTTAAGTTTTTCAATACTATCACAACCGACTTCTGTCATACCATTAACAAATTCATCCCTAGTAAATTCACACTGTGTTGCTGCTTTAAACTTCCACGCAATAATGAGAACTAGTTTAGATTCCGGAGAAAGTCCTAAATCGTCCAAAAACTTAAGTATTCCGTCTGCAGTTATCTTATCTGGTTCACTAGGGTCCTTGTATCTACTGTATAATGCTTCTAATTTTTTTTTGTCAACGTTCCTTTGTTCTTTATAATAAGCCTCAGGATTCTGAAAATAATTATCACTGGCAAGATCCAATTTCCAGTCGTTTTGAGCCAAACAATAAATAGCAGTATTTTCTCCCGTTTGTGTAAACGAGATAAATTTTTTCACCTTCTCTCTTTGTGAAGACTTAAGTTTGTGCTGTAAATATGGAAACATTGCCTGTTACTAAACTTAAAAAACAATTCTATAAACAAAACATGTATGCAGAATTTCTTTGTAAGCTTAAATAATTAAAAAAGACATTTTTTTATTTTAACTAGGTTATGTAGATTAGGATAATCAGTCAAGATGACAGATCCTTTCACCTACAATATCAAATACTTTTGTGACAATTTATTAATAAAACGTACCATTGCGAGAAGAATACACCAAACTAAATTTTTAGGCACATAAATAAAAGTTCTACTGAAAAATTATTGTATTTGGCTTTTTACGAAAAATAACCTCTAAAGACTAAATAAAGCAATGTTGCCATCATACTGGACAACAACAATTTCTTCAATTTTCATAACGAAAAAAAGGTATTGGTCCTCCTGTCAAAATTCAAACTAATGTCAGTAGATAACCTATAAGTTACTTTTTGTAAAATGTATGTTAAATTATTTAAAAAATAAGCATATTTTTTTCGGGAAATATATTAATAGGAAGGAATGGGAGTTCAGAGTAGTTTAAAGCTTAAGGATAAGAATAATTCAAATGGTTCTACTCACATATAACAGGCTTTTGAGCTTTTCAGCAAAAAGGTTTTGCTCTAGCAAACCTGTAAGAGTTCGTTTTGCACCGAGCCCAACAGGTTTGTTAGTAATGTTTTATTTAATATGAATGTTGGTTTTGTGTTTTTATTTCATCTAAAGGTTCTTTACATTTGGGAGGATTGAGAACTGCATTATATAACTATTTGTTTGCAAAACTACACAATGGAAAATTTATTTTGAGAATAGAAGACACTGATCAAACTAGACTTGTTGAAGGAGCAATTCGAGAATTACAAAATGATCTTTTATGGGCAGGCCTTGTAATAGATGAAGGACCAAGTGCTGGTGGTAATTATGGCCCATATTTGCAATCAGAAAGATTGAATATATACAAGTATAATTATTCACTTTTGTTAGTTTTTATTTCCTTGTGAAACATGGCTTTTATTCAGGAATCACATCCAAACATTATTAGACAATAAGACAGCATATTATTGTTTTTGTACTGACCGACGCTTAAATCTCTTACGAAAAGAAGCACTCAGACTATGTCAAATACCAAAATATGATAATAAATGTCGTAATTTATCATTTGAAGAGGTTGAGAAGAAATTACAGCGGGGTGAGCCTCATTGTATTAGATTTAAGGTTTAGTATAGCTTTATTACTTTATGAGCCTGAATTTATTATTACATTAAGTGTTTTGTAGTTAAAACATGGCAATGAAGTATTTGATGATTTAATTTATGGTAAAATAACTTATGATGTGGCATTAAATGAAGGGGACCCAGTTATAATGAAATCTGATGGATATCCCACATACCATTTTGCAAATGTTGTGGATGATCACCTTATGCAAATCTCTCATGTACTTAGGGGTGTTGAATGGCAAATATCTACCACAAAACATTTATTAATGTATAGGTATTACAATTTTAAACAGCATATTCAGCTAAAGGATGTTCAAAAGACAATATCAGGCTTAATATTTTGAGAATATATGCTAGTAATAGTAACTTTTGCAAAAAAATGAAAGAAAAGAATAATGACTGTAAGGGCAGATAAGTCATTGTCATCTGACTGTTAACTTTGTGAATTTAATAAATAATGATTTTCTAGAGCTTTTAATTGGCAACCACCTGCTTTTGGACACTTGCCACTGTTATTAAATCCTGATGGAACAAAATTGAGCAAGAGACAAGGGGACATAAAAGTTGCTCATTACAAGGAAAATGGTATTTTTCCTTTGGCTCTTATTAACTTTATTAGTCACTGTGGGGGCGGGTTTGCCAAAGACTTGGAAAAGGGATTTAAACCAAAGATATATACTCTTCCAGAATTAACTGAACAGGTCTCTGCTTTTTTGAAAATAATTGTTGAGTTTGATAATCTAATTAAGTGAATTTCAGTTTCGACTTGATAATATAAACGTTCATTCTGGAAAACTGGCACCAGAACGTCTCTTAGAATTCAATAGATTGGAATTTAAAAGACAATTACAAAACGAAAATAATTTAAATGATTTCACAGAAAGATTAATGCAACTTATTGAAAAGAAATATTATAAGGACAGGTATTTATAAAAATATTCCTTTGAGCAAAACTTTATTTTTATTTTTATTCTTTTGTTTTACTTTAGTGCATCATTTAATTTGGATAACCAATATGTAAAGTCAATCATTAAATGGAGTGTAAACAGAATAAATCGCTTAGAAGACCTTATAGAAAATGAATTTGCTTTTTTGTGGGTTTTCCCAACTAATAGTTCAAGCAGAACAGAACAAGAAGTTGACATTATAAAAACCATAAAAAGGACTTTAGAAACAGAAGAAATAAATTCGGACTTTTTAAAACCGTTCTTAAAAAGTACGGCGAAAACATTTAACATCCCTTTTTCCAAGCTAATGAAACTTCTTAGAAGTATCTTAAGTGGTTTAAAGGTTCGTCGTAACAACTCTAAAAACGTTTTTAGTTTAATAGCGTTATTAATTTTTAGGAAGGTCCCGGTGTAGTCGAAATGATTGAAATATTAGGAAAAGAGAACACATTAAAACGGCTGGATAATTTTCTAAAATACAAAGAAAATGATTAAAAACGAACAGTTAATGTATTACTTTTATTACATATATTGTTGTATAGCTTGCTTTATACATAAACTTATTAATTAATTGGATTTTATTTTCAATTCTCTTATTGCATTACAATTAAATTTTATAATAAATTTACAAAATACCTTATTGACTAATCTGTTTGTTTATATTCCTGATGGGAGAATTATCTACTCCGTTTACTAATTCTTTATACCTTTAGTGTTCCATAATAATATAGAATTTAATGTATAAATGATCTATCTATACCCTATAGTTCTATAGTATTTGGTTGCACAGTTTGTTTTGCGCAGGCGTCTGTGTAAAGAATAAGAAGAAGAAGAAATGTATGTTGTCAAAAATTTGTGTACGTTGTGTGTGGTTCAAATATTGATTTTACTATTGTTGAATTAATTAATTGCAAATTATCATGCAAATATAACAATATTCTGAATATTTAGTCGTGGCCATTAACTATCGTTGGCTTGTTTAAAGTATCGTTTTTAAATCGTGAATTTTCACATAGAACAAATTTGAATCGGCGTTAGTGTTATAGCTTGTATCAAATGTGATTTCAGTCAGTGTTTAACTAATCTGTTATATATGAACAAATTGCTTCTTCATCAGGGTGGTCGGCTTCGTGAAGCAGTACCTTAAAATTGTTATCAATGTGAGTTTGTACTACATTCTAGATTTTATTTTTATTTGACGCTACGTCTTATGTTGTTCGTTACAAAATTCACTATCGTATTTGTACATCATTATTCTGTAATAAGTACGGACAATGATTACTGATAAAGTAATTGTTATTGTTGTGATTCGAATTGTTTTAAATGATACACCTACGTAATATTGAACGCTATCAAAGGTATTCTATTTCCGTTGATACGCTTCGACATGCACCGATGTAGGTTAACAGAAGGCCCATCATTTATAAACAATTGTGTAAATTTTTTTATTGGTAATGTTATTAATGTATGAAATATGATTACATTGAGCAAATGTTGCCTCTTATTAAACGCCATTTACATCAATAATTACATATTATAGGAGTGATTTTAACAGCTGTTTATCAAGGTCTTTTAAAATTATTGTACTGAAGTCGGTACCTAATTAAATGCCGAATTATTTGGTTTCGGAATCAACTGTACAAATTAACAGAAACACTTAATGTTGCTATCCAATTATAAGATCAATTTTTTCTTGGTTTTGAAGATTTTTTATACCTAACTGATGAATTTGGTTTTCTGATATTTTATAATTTATTGACAACTTCAATTATAGCAAACAACTGAAATTGTATTGTTAAATACTAATTAAAAAAAAATAACAAACATATAAGTATATAAAACATCCAGAATGTTGTGTAGATAATTACAGAATACACAATTTTATAATTAGGTACCTACCTAATTTAATTAATAATGTACCTATCAAATAATTATTTATCAAGATAGGCATAAAAAATATGTAACAGTTTTTTTAAAACGTTTTACTTACACGTACTACCTACTTAGCAGGTAAAATCAGATTGGAAAACGTAGAGGTCTGTAAAGGTCGACCAATACATTGATAGTAATACTTGCTCGTTTAGGTAATTACAATTAATTTTTGATTCTGTGTTTTTAACTACATTTTCAAGGTTTACTCATTAATCCACGTTGATAAATATTGTATTCTTCTGACAGTGGGTTGGGAATCAAAATTAGGTCAAGTTTTTCTCCTTTTCTTTAGACGTTATTTTCATTAAATTTATTTGCTCAGTTTGAGATTCAACTTACAATTAAACGACATCATTAATAAGTAGCATATAATACAGTATTGTACTGTACTTACGTATACTTGTGTGGGTACTTCTTATTCGAGATGAAAGAGATTTTGAAAAAGTTCGCTTTTTGAACTTTGAGGGCTGTTGTAACACGCCTATATCGATTTTATAATACCGACGAGCAGGCTACAACCTTCATTTTTTTTTGTGTTAAGTACGTATTTTCAGAGATTGTTAAAGCATCATTGATCAACTGAAAATTATTTTTTTTTTCAAAACTTCTGTACTAAACTTGAGAGTTTCAAAACTGAACTCGTATACAGGTAAGGCAAAACGGTCACCCACTTCTTTGAAAACTGCCCTAATTTATCGAAATTTGTACAAATTTCCCTATACCACGTCGTATTTTTCAAAATATGATTCCGCAGATACAATTTTGTTTTCTCTTTTTACCTAATTTAAAAGGTGGAAGATTAAAATGTGCGAAGTTCTTGTTGATCGTTCATATATTATACCTCTACTTCATTGCATAATCATTAACTTTAGTAATAATGCAATATTTACAAAGCTATGTCACTGGTTACTTAAAATTAGCAGTCCTAATAATTACATAATTAAAATAATTATTGACTCATGGTCAGAAAGTACTTTGTTGTTTTATTTTTTATTGTTAATTGGTTAAGCGATTTCATTCGAAAATTTTTTTTGAATAACCGCATTGTACGAACTCATAAAATAGATTAAACTAATAATATTTGCAAATACTGTTCAAACATTAATTCAACATTTATAAATCAAAATACAACTTTAAGGGCTAAGGTACGGAAGAAAAGTCTCAGGTATACACGTAATGTAAAAAGCTCACCGAATGTAAAAAGTACTTATTTCTTTGTTGATATATTTTTTTATGTTTATATGTCTAACTAGCATAACCAACTTCTTTGAAAACGGTCCTAAACTAACCGAATTCTCAAAATCTTTTGAAAAGGCACTTGAAGGTATTTATCGTTTATATTTTGACAATAACTTAATAAATTTTTAATTCATAACTTTTATCTTGAAGTTCCCTCAGACGCAAATTTGTTTTAAACGCGTTATTATACGAATTATTTATTGCAAAGTAAATGTTGAATATTTGGTTGGGGGCCTCTATTTGTCACCGTTGACTATTCAACAATAAATTAAGATACTTGACACTACAGTAGACAATGTATTATCACAAAAACATTTGCGTTTTTCTTTTGTTTCATGGAACGCCTTTTAAATATATGAACATATAAGGAAATAAACCAGTAATGTGTAATAACGTACAATGTAACATGTATATAGTAAAATGAATTATTCATACTCGTTCAATATAATCTACTTTGGTGCATTCGTAATTATTTATATTTGCTCTCCGCGTAATAAAACGCATGTAAAATTTATAATTAATATAAAAACAAACATGACATAAGTGGTTGTTCCCAAAAGGTTTTGTTTTTGCGATTATTTGAAGTATCAAAACAATAAATTATCCTCCTCAACCCAGAACAGGGCCGTAGCTAGGCGCACGCCAGGTCAGGCTCATCAAATTGCCTCAGAAAATTATGTATAAGCCTGCCCTGGTCGCTGGCCTTAGGTTGGTAAGATTTTATATTTTTTTACCCGTAATTTCGAAGTTTTACAATGGTACTATTGTCCTAGAAAATAGTAATAAACAAATTTAATGTGAATGTAGCAATTTTAAATTTAAAAGTTATTGTTTCCGCACTCAAACGCAATTATAAGGAAAATGCGACCCTGATCCAGGAAAGAAACGTAATACAAACTCGATAACTTTTAGAAGTTTACAAAAAAATATTAAATTTCACCTAGATATCTCATTTTTTTGTCGTCCATATAATTAAGGGGTCTAATAGGTAATAAACCATAAATATTTAAAATAATAATTATCCAAATAAGTGTAGGTAATGTTGTAAATTATTAACGACTGTCCGTCTCTTATATTTTAATTTTTATAGTTTGCTACTAAATAATTATACTTCAGAGAACTGGAAACTAAAAGTCGATCAAAAAGGTTTCTTATCATGAAAAATTCACTACGTCTTTATATCAAGCTAGCACAATGAAGTTTTATGAAATTTATTGCTATTTTGTTACCAAATCCAAAGCTTTCTCGGTCCAGCCGAATACTAGAAAATAGACGAAATGCTAGCTTGATATCAGGTCAGCATTTCGTCTATTTTCCGATAACCAGCTGGAGCGACAGATTTTTTGAATTCGTAACAAATTAGCTACAAATTATGGTGGATATCAAAAATGGGAAATATAACTTTCGTGCTAGCTTAGCATTTAAATGTAAAGCTACGTAATATTTAATAATTGTATTAAAGTACAGGTATATAATATTATCGTAAAGTCCCTTTTTAAATTTAGATTTGTTCACAAATCATTTAATTATATTTACTAGTTCTTCCCCCTGCCCTCGGCCATTTTTATTGCTCCATTATGACGTAGTGTCGGCCATCATTCTTTTCTAATTGTTGCCGTTGTCGGCCATCATTCTTTTCTAATTGTTGCCGTTGTCGGCCATCATTCTTTTCTAATTGTTGCCGTTGTCGGCCATCATTCTTTTTCAATTGTTGTCGCATTGTTACTGATGTCGGCCATTATGGTTTTTTTATAGATGTATAGTAAACAATATTCNTAGAAACTGTGATATTTAGGTTTTAATACTCGATATTGTGGTGTAATGTAATAATGCACAGTCTCACCCATATTAAGGACACTGCTTTGTCTCTAAAAGCACTTTTCATTTGATCTGTCATTGTATTCACAAACTTTTTAACCAAAGTCATCCTTGTAGTTTTTGGTTCATTCTCTCAGACTTGTAAGCATTAAATATAATATTTATAAAATGATTTAAGTAGTTGATCCTCTGTACAAGTTAAGTTCAATAGCAGTAAAACACTACTGTAAAAATATGAGGTAAATAGGAACGTAATTATAGTTTCTCTATAAAGTTTTAGTATGTTCTTTTTGTAATTTTTGATTTAATCGTTTAGGAAATATGCTTTATCAGCATTAGCAGTTGATGGAAATGAAATACACAAGAAGTTTGTTTTCTTTTAACACGTAAAACAGAAAATTATCATAGTAACTTTTAAATTATGGTGAATGCGCCAGGTTACCTACAAGCTTTGCCTCTATTGCAAAACCTCACCATGTTGTGTTTTATTTTGATTTGGAAAACAACACATAATTAACAAAATTTTACAATCGAAAACTATAAATTTCATTTTGTATATTTAATTTTAGATCAGCGATCCTGAAATTGTTCAAGGGATCATAACTTTTGTAAAAATTAATATTCTTTGATTATATGCCAAATGTGACTGTAACGATTTTAAAAGTTGGAACGAATGTTAAATTGTAACAGAAAATTTTGATATGTATCTTATTGCGTATCGTAAATTCCAAAAATAATTCGAAAACCAAAAATGCCTAAGCATATAGAAGGTTTTAATTTTAAATTGGATTTAAACTTTTTAATAATTTAATCCATAATAATATAAGAGAAGACACTTGAATGGTTAAAAATGTCAATTTTACATCCATAAATATAAAAAGGATATCTACATTTTATTTCTTGTCATGACACGTTGAAATTCTATACTGTTTTTTAATTTTTGTTAAATAATGTAAAGCGCCGTAATAGGTATAAAATATGAAAGTATAGATAGTATATCAATACGAGCGTAAATTATTGTAAACAATCCGGAATATTTTAAAAATTGTGAGTGTTACATGTAGAAAATAAACTTCTTGTAATTATTTAAAAACAATTTATTACGTTACAATCCATATGAGAAAATCATGTATGTAAATTAGGGAACGAATAAGGCGTGACGCGAAATTCATCAATTTTTAACCCCCTTCTTCCTCCCTATCCATTTCATTACGTACCACGGGAATTGTAGGATTTAATTCAGAACATATTTTTTAATTTCCAATAATAATTAACTTTTAAATAATCAATTACCACTTCTAATCGACATTAAAGTGTTCTGTCATTTATAGAGTAATAAAATTACTTTTTTCGGTTATAAAATCGTTAAGTAGCGTTTACCTTGACTCCCACCTCCCCCCAAGTAATAAGACTGAGACGGGAAACTATACTGGACTCGCACCCTCCCCAGTTTTGTTACGCAATTTGCGAACAGCCTCGTTATGAACGCAAACATTGATACCTGCCTTCCTCCGTGTAACAGGATAGTAACGTTAGACCGGACTCCCCCCCCTGCCCCTAGTTTGCGTTAGGTAGTTACGCAGTTTATTGAAAATCTTTGACGATACTTTGGAATTTACAATGAGAATATCAAACAGTTTGTTGACAACTGAAATACGAAAAGTACACATCATATGTTTATGATTCCGTTAAACTTTATAGTTCTAATAGTCATGTACCCACCTATAAAAATAACATACTATTGCGGACAAACATAGTTAATATGCGTGTGGTGTATATGAATATTCTCTGAAGTTTGTAGAGCAATAAAATCTTTCACAAAGTAGGACGCCGACTCTTTGCAAATAAAGAGGTACAAAATATTGATGCAAATCTTCACATATAATAAAATTCTAAACTTTGCGTGTTGGAACATTAACAATATTTACAAAAAAAAATGGTTGTAGGAGTATTAGGTGAAGGATAACGGATGTCATTGCTTAATATCCATGCAAAAGCATTTGATGAGATTCCGTCTTGTGTTTATATTTTTAGGTATGTAATGATAATCTTCAGCATTAAACATTTTAAAATTTTTAAACTATGTATGTAATTATTAGTTTCTGATTTTATCGCTTTTAAAGTAAAAACTATGATCGGGAGATAAGTTTGCGGTGGGAAAGTATTGCTAATATTCTTGGATTTTACTATTTTATGGTGATTTTCATTTTATATATTAAAGGATTCTTTTATTTCATTAGGTTATTTTCAAGTCGTTATATGATAGTAAATAAAAGTAAAACTAAAATACTGATATGCAAGGGAAGAAAAAGTAGGGAAAGAGCGAATATAAAGATAGGAGACGATAAATTAGAAGAAGTGGCTGATTTTAGATACCTAGGAAGTCAAATAAGTGAGGATGGAAGGAGTAGTAGGGATATAAAGCAGAGGATAGCGCAGGGTCGTGTCGCCTTTAATAAAAAGAAGTCACTTCTATGCTCGCGAACGGTTAATTTAGAAATTCGAAAAAGGTTGTTAAAGGTGTATGTTTGGAGCACGGCGTTGTACGGGTGCGAAACATGGACAGTGGGAGCGGCAGAAAAGAAAAGGTTAGAAGCGTTCGAAATGTGGTGTTATAGGCGGATGATGAGGATATCGTGAGTAGAAAAGGTTAGAAATGAAGAGGTATTGGAAAGAATAGGAGAACAGAGGACTCTATGGAAGTCAATAAAAAATAGGCGATATAGGTTGGTAGGACACCTTCTCAGGCATGAAGGTCTAGTCAGAGACATATTAGAGGCAGAAACAGGAGTTAGGAGGGGTAGAGGTAGACCTAGATTAGATTACTCTTCGCAAATAATTAAGGATGTGGGCTGTTCTAGTTTTAGGGAATTGCGAAGTTTAGCTCAGGATAGGAAAGAGTGGAGGTACGTGTCCAACCAGTCTTAGGACTGATGACCTTATGATGATGAGATGATAGTAGTTCAGTGTTGAATTTAGACATTTTGTTCCGGGAAAGGGGGGCATGAGGCAGGAATAAAATGGAGGGTAATTATCCTTAAGCCTTCGATGTAAATTTTCATCCTAGAATTAGTGTGTCCCCACTCGATTGGGACTGGGGGGCTGCATGCAAATATGTTTCATCGTTCCGCATTAGTAGTAGAAACTGTGATATTTAGGTTTTAATACTCGATATTGTGGTGTAATGTAATAATGCACAGTCTCACCCATATTAAGGACACTGCTTTGTCTCTAAAAGCACTTTTCATTTGATCTGTCATTGTATTCACAAACTTTTTAACCAAAGTCATTCTTGTAGTTTTTGGTTCATTCTCTCAGACTTGTAAGCATTAAATTCTATTATTGTAAAACTTTGCTTGAGTTGTAAATTATTATAAGTATAGTTTCATCAAAAACAGACAAGGTGATAAGACAACTGGATTTCTCCATTTTTGCTGTTTGAAAGATTTTCACGGGATCCACGGAGAGTTCCCCAGGGAGGGTGAGTTTTATACTACGGAGAGGGATTAATAAATCACTAAACTAATATCAAATGTTTAATAAGTTTGTCGAAACATTCATCTGACACATAGGTTCATCGACCAATTTAATGTGAGGTGCTCAAAATTGTCCATGTATCATTTTGCTTAAGTGATAAGTTTTAAATACCGTATCAATAGGTATAATAACTCCACAACTTAAATGATGATGGTGTCCTTTGGGGTAAAGCACTGCGGACGTAAAATAGTCCCTCATTCGAATGTGCGGAAACTTGGAATTAGATATAGTAGGAATTAGTGAATGTGGTTATAAGGTGACTGATGAGGGAGGATACCGTGGATAGAGAAAGTTAGAAATGAGGAGGTATTAATAAGAGTAAGAGAACAGAGGGTGTTATGATAGCCACTAAGGAATCTCAAGCATGAAGGGCTAGTTATAGACATATTGGAAACAGAAAGAGGTGTTAAAAGGGATGAAAATAAACCTAGATTAGATTATTGTTTACAAATAGTTAAGGATATGAGTTTTTCTAATTTAGGGAAATGCGATGATTAGCCCAGAATAGGGAAGAGTGGTGGTGCGTGTCCATCCAGTTTTAGAAGTGGCGACCTTATGATTATGAAGATGGGCAATATCCTTATAGTGTTGAAATACTCAAGACTGTATGAATTTTAACATCTGTTTCGGTTTTTTGAGAAAAAATACTTTTGAATATTTCATTCCTGTCAGCTACAAATACTGGTGGGCCCCGCAGTACGCCTTCTTTTAGGAAGTACGTAAGGGGGTGGCGATTAGGGTGAAAATGATAAGTCGGACAAAGTGTCCCAGAAGTTAGCCAAGGAAACCACAGAAAAACTAGGAGCAGGGCAGGCGAATCGGGAATCGAACCGGTGTCCTCGCAAATTATAAGCTACAAGTCTTAGACTATTGCTTAGAGTGGAGGGGGGAGGATTTAGCTTAAATTTTCTCTTTTTTTTGATTAGTTTGTTTTAAAACCGTTAGATAGTAGTAGTTGTTCATAATACTTTAAACTCATTGATAGGGATATACAAGGCGATCAGCTGAGATGGACTGACTAGTAATAAATATTTGCAAAAAATGTCTCCTACAAAACACTCGCGTTTATGTACAAAGTAGTAGGTAGATTTTGAACAGTGCGGCATTATAAAGTTTTAAAATAACTTATTTATAATATAATAATAATGATGAATGAAAGTAGCACGGAAAGAAAGGTGTGCTGAAGATAACGAGCAGAACCGATTGGTGTCGAGTAGGTTACTGCTCTGTCGTCGTTGTTATTACTGTTAGTTACTTGTCCGCTTAGAGAGAAACCCGATTGTTAATGTACGTGTTGTTGTGCCGTGGCGTTTTTGGTGTACTGTACGATTTTGTTAATATGGGACAGTGGTGGAAAGTGTGCGCGTACGACAATGTTTTTCTGGCTCGTTGTACAAGTAAAATACCCATCTTTCGTCCCTCGCATTAGCGCTTTTCGTACAGAAAACAAAATTATGAACCTCCGCGAGAGTTTAAATTGATCACCTTCCCGTCAGTTTTACATAGAAAAAGTGATCAGTCTTGTGGTCACGTTGTTGCTACGGTTCGCGGCTACAGAACTGTGTTGTGTTGATTCATTAAAGTCTTTTTTACTCGTCTTGACGACATACCGATAATATTGGTGCACCACCGAACGCATTTTTAATTATCACGCGCAAACAAGACAAATTAATTCGAATTAATCGCTATCGTCATAGTCTGCTGTCGGCCGATGATAATTAGTTCGAGTTAAACTTTCGAACAGAAAATATTTACATATTATTAATACATAACACAACAGCTTGGGTCCGATTCGTGTCTGTTTTTTTTCTTTCCGCATATTTTTGTGTTTCTTCGTATACCCCGTTTTATTTAGTTTTTGTCGAAAAATATCGAAAATAAACTTCACCGCCTCGTACCTAATGTGATTTTCTCTTCTGTCACGTGCCTGATATGTAATAATAATAAAACAATATGCGATAACGTTTCAAAGTATACCTCAATAGAAAAAGAGTTTAGTAGTTTCCGCGTTTTCTTGTCTCGATTTTCCCGAAAGAGTCATGGACGAGGGCGCGAATTCGTCGTTGGCGGACGAAGTACAGAACAATTTCGTGGAAAATGACAATTGGATATTGGAAGCTCAGGCTGCGAGTAACAACCGCAAGGGACGTAGGAAATCCTGGCATGCTTTGAAATTCGATCGGAAACGGAGAAAAGAGTTACAAGAGCACGGCAGTTTTCCCGAATTAAGGAGAAAACGGCACTCGTGGTGGAACATTTTCGCCAATCAACAAATTTCGAGGTAGGTCATAGGTACCCAGAGATGTGATTTATTTGAAATACTTGCGTTTAAAATGCAAATACGAAATAAAAAATATCTATTTTTATCTTGCATTTAAATACTTTTTGAGAAAAGCATTTTGTATTTTATTTAAAATA